GAAGTAGTAACTTTCTACAACATCCACATTTAACTGTCCAGTTGATGTAGAAGATGGGCAGGTCTTGGAGAGTGACAATGGATATCATAAGCTTAATAAGGTGGTGACTTTGTACAGCAAATCCACACAGCCCATGGAGGAAATGCTCTTTTCTCATTTCCCAATAAGCAAAGAACTCCAAAAACAGCGTTGTCTTATCTGGCAAGGATGGCTTCCCACCTCGCTTCAGAGTTCTAGCAACTCTGATTCCATGCCACAATCTGGTCTACAGAAATTGTGATAATCTCACCATTCTTTAGGATATCACAGTGACTAATACATTGATGATATCATGCTTGAGGACCTAAAGAGCACGCATCATAGTTATTCTAGATACGTTAGTAAGAAACATGCAAATCATAGTGTGGGATATAAGTTTCTGGAACCTACAGGGGCTTGTGACCTTAGGAGACAATTTTAGAGAGTCTAGTGATCTAGGTAGGTTAAGATAGCTTCTCCAAAGCAAAGGAAGAGCTGTTGCACCTCACACAACCCCCTATGGGAAAGAGAGAGAGACAATGCTTCAAAGTCCCCTGTGGAAGCGCATTTGTCATATTAGGTGTGCTTCTCTGACCCACTTACCGGGTGACTCAAGGTGCTAATTTTGAGGAATCGCCCAGGGATAAAGAAGACTCTCCATCTTGTTTCAGCCGCAGTGCAATCAGCTCTACATCTTCGACTTAGTGGATCCCCCCTGCCAATGGTGCTCCAAGTGTCAGTGGCGATTGGACGCATGTGTGGGACTTGTGACAAACCCTATTAGGAGAATCACAGTGTCAACTATCAGTGTTTTGGAAAAATCCCATACCTTCTTTCTCAAGTAATTATTTTGCTTTTTGAGAAAAATATTTAGCTTGCTACTGGGCCATGGGAGAACCTGAATGACTTATCAAGAAACTCAATTTACCAGGCAGTCTGATCTGCCCATCTTGAGCCTGATGTTATTTTGATCCATCAAGCCACCAAGTCAGGTCATCAAAAGACCCAGTGACACTGGAGACTCTCAATATTTAAGAGGACAGGTTAACTTGTCCCATGGGTGTAAGTCAACTTCTCTCCCCAGCTAGCCCACTGCTTATTCAGTGGGTCATGGATACAGTGACCAAGTGGGCAGAGACTGAAATTATCGAGGTTTTTAACAATTTAGACTTCCCCTTCCAAGGCTGATCTGGTTTCTTTCCTGCATCACTAAACAACTGTGAGTGTTCCAAAAGGTACTGAATTCAGAGGAGGTCCTACACAGCTACCTGGAAGCAGGTTATATAGACTTCTTTACTCATGGAGGGGATCAGTGATTTGTCCTCACTGGAATAGACAATGCTTCTGAACTTGGGTTTACTTTCTTTGCCCACCATGCCTATGCTATCATGCTCAGACTTTCTGAGCGCCTCGTTCATCATCATGGTATTCCATACAATATCGCTTCTGACTAAGGACCTCATGTTATACCAAAAGAAGAAATGAAGTGGGCTAATATCCATCCCTTGGTAGCAGCTGGCTTATAGAATAATGGAATGATCAATTGTAGACTTAGTGCCTGCTAGAAGACACGCTTGTATAGACAATATGACTGTCCTGTATTCATAAGACATCTTCTGACCTCAGGGCCAATATATGGTGTTTCTCCTGCAGCCAGGAGCCGTAGATACAGGATCCAAGAGGATGACATCTCTAATACGCCAAATGACCCATTTGCAAAGTGTTCGTTTCTGTTCCCTTCTCCTTTGGGCTTTGCGAGTTTGAAGGTCACAGCAACCAAGGAGGAATTCTTCTAGAAGGGGACTCAAGCATCGTTCCCTTGAGATTGAAATGGAGATACTGGCTCTTTCAGACTCTTCATACCAGTGGTTGAGGTTGCAAAAAGGGGGAGTTAGTGTTGACTTTGATGACAGTGACACTCAAGGGGACGTAAGGTTGCTGTTATATTGGCAAAAGGAAGCCAATAGAATCTAGCTGTGATGGGCTCTCTTGTACTGGTATGTCCAATGGGAAACAATGGATTTTGTTAAAAAAAATTAACATACACAGATTCCCTCAGACATGAGGGTTATCTCCTGATTAGCTGAGATGCTTAATAAAAGAAAAGGGAGATTTTATAATATGCATTTGAGGAATCCTAAATTGGTATAGTTTTATAACACTAAGAGTCTTGTGACCACTTGCAAAAATAAGGACTCTTTTACTTATATTTTCTTTCTTGCTGTGTCTTATGTATATTTATGTCTATTTTAACTAATTGCTTTTTACTTTTAATTTTCTTCTGTTTATATAGGATAAATTAGTAATAGATAACTTAATCTAGGAGATCAGAATATTGAGATGGGATCGTGACAGAATTAAAGGAGGAATGATTATCACCCACAGGTCCTAGATTTCAAGCTGGACACAGAAGATGATTCTTCTTGTGGGGAGCAGTGAAGGTATTTTGCAAGTGTACAAGGTATGTTGCATTCTATTAAGTGGAAGCATTTTATATGGTTTTTATTTTCAAAAATGTAAGAATAGTAAAAAGCACATTTGATGCTGGTAAAGACTGCTAGTTCCTCCCCAAATCCATTCTCCTCTTTGTCCATAGTAACAGAACCTTGACTTTTAGCCATATGGAATAACTACCAAAACAAAAAACAAAACAAAAAAAACCCCAGCACCATCAAAACTACATTTCCTAATCTCTCTTGCTGTTGTCTCATTAAGGTAACTAAGTTCTAACAATGAGGTGAAAGTGGATGCATTCTGTGGTATTTCTGGGAAGGCTCCATAAACAGGAAAGGACAAGTGCCCGCTAGTTCTCTCCTGTCCTTCCTAATGCCTGGGAAGTGGATGCAATGGTTGGAGAGCCAGCAGCCATCTTGGATCATAAGGTGGTCTTGTGAACAGAGGTCTTACAGATGAGGAGAAATACCAGAGCCTGAGCCTCCAATGACAAATTACATTCTTTCAGTATAATAAAACATAAACAGATATTTTTTGAATGCCCAGGCAAGCACGGGGAAGACACTGGTAAACAAGGCAAGTTTCTAGCCTAAGGAAGCTTACAAACAAGTCTGGTGGCTGGCCAATTATGCAAGGCTGCTGTGTGAGCACACAGGTGCTCTAACCTAATCCTGAGTAGATGGTGGGTGGTGCAGTCTGGGAAAACTTTCTGGAGGAATAGGATTTGGCAAGTTGTTGGAGGAAGGGGTGGAAAGAGTTTTCTAGGTGTAGGGGAGTTAAGAGGTGTTTGACCCTAACACTTATTAAAAGAGACAAGTCAGGGAGGTAAGCTAGGGTAGGAATGTGGACTTTATCCTCAGAATGATGAGGGGGAGGCGAAAGGAATAAAGCGTGGGAATGACATGGAAAGGGAAAGAAAGGAAAGAAAGAAAAAGATCACTCCAGCTGCTCTGTGCAGAAGGGATTTGAGGGGAACAAGATCAGAGGTGGGGGGTATTTTCTCTTGGCGATGAGAAGAAAAAGAGGAACGAGAAAAGAAGCTTGACACCAAAGGCACACTTGGTCTTGATGCAGCACCTGAAATATATTGGGAAAGTGTAAACACTAATTTGGAGGAAAAACAGGGCTGGATCCAGGCTCCACGGGGGCCTGTTTTAGAAAAAACACACAATTAGGCACGAAACTGACTATAAAGATGAGAAAAGGAGTCCCAAGAAATTCCCGGAAGCTTGGAGGTTCAGGCCTGTTTCCTCTGTTTACCCGAACTGCTTGTCCAGAGGTCACCCTGGCATCTCCTCTCTGCCCAGAGCCCTCCACAACTCCCAGCACCCCACGGTAACGCTAGAGAAACGCCCTGGGGCGTAAACCCAAGTCAAGTTTTCCGTCGGGGAGGAGTGACCCTCTTGGGAGCAGCAAAAGAGCCGGCTTGGGGTCTGGCGGACCGACCACCCCGCTAGCTGGGCTGGATTGGAACGGGAACCCGTATGCTCAGAGCAGTCACACCTACTCTTGAGCCCTGTGGCCTCTGTGGCTCTGAGCCCCCTTCCCCAGCTCCTCGCCCTACTAGCGCGCTGCTGGGAGGTGAGGGGGCGCAGCGCGCACTGTGTGGATCTCCGGGAGAAAAAATGCCCTCGTGGGCCCTGGTCAACACCGAGGCGAGGCCGTAGCCACAGGAACCATTCCTTTCCTCACTCTGGGTATACACAACTTCAGAAACACAAGCTCTGTCTTGGGCATTTCGGGATTTAGAAATAAACATCACCCCAGCCTGAAATTTCCAAGGAAAAACGCCGGCCACTTCATAGTTTTAATTTTAATGGAAAAAAAAGGACTTAACAAAGTTGTTGCTTTGAAATAAAATTAACTTCTGCAAAACAAGTAAGTCATCGTCAGCAGTTAGCGGGGATCAGCGGGAAGCACCGAACGAGGGCGGGCGGTTCCGGGGGCTTCAGGTGCTGTGCGGAGCGGGGGCGCGCGGTGTCTGGCAGGGGGCGGGACGGTGCTGGGGCGCCCCGCGCCGTGTCTGGTGGGGGGGAGGCGGTGTAGGGGGCGGGGCGTTGTCTGGAGCTGGCAGTGCGGGGGTCGCGCGGCGCGGTGTCTCGCGTGGGGGCGGTGGAGGCGGTGTCTGGTGGGGACGGTGCGGGGGAGGGGGCTCCCGGCGTGGTGTCTGGCTGGGGGCTGTGCAGGGGGGCGG